TTGCTAGGTGCCGTCGAGTCATCTCTAACTTATAGCGACCTTAGGTACAACAGAACAAAACACTCGCCGGTCCTGTGCCAGCCTCACAATCCCTGCTACACCTGAGCCCATCACTGCAGCCACTGTGTCAATCCATCTTGTTGAGGGTCTTCCCCTCTTTCACTGACCCTCCACTTTACCAAGCATGACATCATTCTCCAGAGAATGGTCCCTTCTGACAACATGAGCAAAGTAGGTGAGATGAAGGCTAGCCATTCTCCCTTCCAAGGAGCATTCCAACTGCACTGTTTCCAGGACAGATTTGTTAGTTCTTTTAGCAGTCCATGGTACTTTAAGCATTCTTCGCCAGCACCACAACTCAAAAGCATCAGCTCTTCTTCAGTCTTCCTTATTCACTATCCAGCTCTAACATGCATATGAGGCAATAGAAAATACCATGGCTTGAATTAGGTGTATATTAGTCTTCAAGGGTATATTTTTGCTCTTCAGCACTTGAAAGAGGTCTCTTGCAACAGATTTGCCTAATGCAATATGTCTTTTGATGTCCTGACTGCTGCTTTCATTGGCGTTGTTTGTAGAACCAAGCAATATGAAGTCTTTGACAACTTCAGTCTTTTCTCCATCTATCTATAATTTGTTATGATCCACACAATTGAATGCCTTTGCATAGTCAATGAAACACAAGTAAACATCTTTCTGGTATTGTTTGCTTTGAGCCAAGATCCATCTGACGTCAGCTATGATATCCCTCACTCCACATCCCCTTATGAATCCAGCTTGCATTTCTGAAAGTTTTCTGTCAACATACTGCTGCAACCATTTTTGAATTATCTTCAGTAAGATTTTACTTGCATGTGGTATCAATGATATTGTTCAATAATTTTCAAATTTTGTGGGATCACCTTTCTTTGGAATGGGTACAAATATGGGTCTCTTCCAGTCAGTTGGCCAAGTAACTGTCTTCCAAATCTCTTGGCACAGCCAAGTGAGTGCCTCTAGTGTGGGATCCATTTGTTGAAACATCTCAATGGGTATTCTGTCAATTCCTGGAGCCTTGTCTTTACCAATTCTTTCAGTGCAGCCTCGACTTCTTCCTTCAATACCACTGATTCTTGATCATATGCCACCTCCTGAAATGGATGGTCATCTACCAATTCTTTTTGGTATAGTTGGCTCTGTGTATTCCTTCCATCTTCTTTTGATGTTTCCTGCATCATTCAGCATATCGCCCATGGAATCTTTCAATATTGCAATTCGAGGCTTAAATTTTTTCCTCAGTTCTTTCAGCTTGACAAATGCTGAGTGTGTTCTTCCCTTTTGGTTTTCTAACTCAGAGTCTTTGCACATTTCATTATAATAACTGACTGTGTCTTCTCAAGCTGCTCTTTGAAATCTTCCGTTTGGCTCTTTTATCCTGTTGACTCCACTATCCTCTTTAGCTACTCTCCATTCAGAAGTTTCAGAGTCTCTTCTGACATCCATTTTGATCTTTTCTTCCTTTGCTTTTTTTTTTTTTTTGTGTGTGTGTGTGATTTGAGTGAAAATTTACAGAGCAAATTCACTTTCCATACAGCAGTTCACACACACGTTGTCTCATGACATTGACTACAATTTGCAGTGTAACAGCTCCCCTCTCACTTCCTCCTGATAGTCACCTCTTCCCTGTGTCCATCCCTCCATGCACTCCTGCCCCCTGATCTGTCTCCTTGTGCATAAGCAGCCTTTTTTTTTTTGCATAAACAGCCCTTCTTTCTCCCATGATTGTTCTCTCCAAGGAGTGTATCTACCTCAGGTAAATGTTCAACTCATATGCCAGTCTTTTGTTTGGCTGGAAGCCACAGGTGTAGGTTCAATTCCAGACCTGAAGGGCAGCTAGGGACCATAGTCTCAGTGGTTCCAGCAGGCTCTATCAGACCAGCAAACCCGGTCCCCCCCCCCTTTTTTTTTCCAAATGATTTTGAGTTTTGTTTCACATTGTTCTCCCTCTTGATCCAGGATCTCCTACATAGATCCCCCTCCAAGTGGTTGACAGTGGTAGCCAGGCATGATCTAGTTCTTCTGGTCTCACAGTCGTATAGGCTGCGGATCTCATGGTGTATGAGTTGCTAGGACTAATTGTTTCCATGAATCTTTGGTTTTCTTCATTTTCTTTGCTCTGGATGAAGAGAGACCCATCGTTGCATCTAGATGGCTGCTTGCAAGCTTTTAAGATCCCAGTCCCTTTTCTGTCTTTTTAATGGCCTTTTGTTTTCTTCATGGATGATGTTCTTGATGTCATATCACAGTTCCTCTGGTTTTTGGTCATTGGTGCTCAAAGCATCAAATCTATTCTGTAGATGGGCTCTAAATTCAGGAGGGATATAATCAAGGTCATATGTTGGCTCTCGTGGACTTCTTTTAATTGTCTTCAGCTTCAACTTGAACTTGCATATGAGCAGTTGATGGTCTGTTCCACAGTTAGCTCCTGGCCTTGTGGCTGAAGATACTGAGTTTTTCCATCACCTCTTGCCACACATGTAGTCGATCTGATTCCTGTGTACTTTGTCTGGCAAAGTCCACATGTATAGCTGCCACTTGTGTTGTTGAAAAGAGGTATTTGCAATGAATAAATCATTTGTCTTGCAAAATTATATCATGTGACCTCCAGCATAATTTCTATCACCAAGGCCATATTTTCCAACTACCATAGATTCTTCTTTGTTTCCAACTTTTGCATTTCCATCACTAGCGATAATTAACACATCTTGATTGCATGTTTGATCAATTTCAGACCGCAGAAGTTGGTAAACATCTTCAATTTCCTCATCTTTGACTTTAGTAGTTGGTGCTACTTGAATAGTAGTAGTGTTAACTGGTCTTCCTTGTAGGCATATGAACAGTATCCTATCACTGACAGCATTGTACTTCAGGATAGAGCTTGATACATTCTTTGTGAGGATGAATGCCATGCCATTCTTCAATTTGTCATTCCTGGCATAGTAGTACCTATGATCATCTGATTCAAAATGGCCCAAACCAGTCAATTTCAGCTCACTAATGCCTAGAATATAAATCTTTATACATTTCATTTTCAACAACTTCCAATTTTCCTAGATTCATACTTTGTACATTCCATGTTCCAATTATTAATGGATGTTTGCAGCTGTTTCTTTTCATCTTGAGATGTGCCCAGTCAGCAAATGGGAGTCCTGAAAGCTTTACTCCATCCACATCATTAAGGTTGGCTCTACTCTGAGGAAGCAGCTCTTCTCCAGTCCTGTTTTGAATACCTTCCAATGTGAGGGGCTCACCTGCCAGCACTATATTGCACAATATTTCAGGGCTATTCATAAAGTTTTCCAGTAATATATCAGACAGTGTTTCACTGCTATTCAAAGGTTTTCACTGGCCAATTGTTTGAGAAATGGATGGCCTCTTCCTTCTTCCGAGTCTGTCCTAGGCTGGAAGCTCTGAACCCTGTCTACTCTGGGTGACCTGCTGGCATTTGAAACATTGGTTGCATAGACTCCAGCCTCACAGCAACACTCAAGCCACCAGTGTGACAAAATAACAGACAAGTCTGTCTCTCTAGCTGTTCTAAACTTGCTGGTCCCCCCCCCACCAACTGGCTTAACACCCTGCCCCTGGGACAAACACCTGGTTCCATGCATGCAAACACCTGCCTTCCCCTGGTTTTGGGGCCACATTAAACACCGATCCTGTCTTATTTTGAACTTTAATATTTTGTTCACCTTGGATTTTTTTTTTTGCATTTTGACTTTTAAAATGTTGCACTGAAATACTATTTATCTCGATAATTTCATTTTTTGGTGCTCCCCTAAGCTTTGAGCCCGATGTGAATGTCTCACTCACCTCATCCTAGCCCAGCACTGGGTTTACTAAAAACTTATGCCAACGAAATAGAGGGCTAAGCATACAATTTAAAAACAGGGAATTAAGTATATTGTTTAAATTTACAGAGGTAAATTAGAGTTAAGGGGTGGTGTAGTGTGCCCTATCTTTATTATCGTGGCATGAAGTCAAGAGATAACTAAAACTAACAAATCAAGAAGTAACATATAAGCATATTATTTACCAATGAGATAGCACCTGGTTAAAAGCGGCAGCCTCTGAGGATGGGCACTCTTGCTTTTCTCACAAAGCCTCCTAGATTTTGTGGGCTTTTACTACTTTGGATGACGATAACAATAGAGCAAACAAAAACGTGTAGATTCCAAAACTTGTAATAAGCACACTTCAGCTCGGTCACATTCTAAGTCCACGCCCACCTCATAAACAGTGGGGAGCTCCCGCAATACCACTCCCAGGTCGCTAGGAGCAGAGATGAAGCCTCTCCCCATTGTGCCTTTGTCCCGTTCTTTTTTCCTCCCATTCGACACGGTTTGGGGGAATCCTACGACCTGCCCTAGCAATTGTGCAAGGCCCAGAGGCGAAGCACACCCAGGTCCTTGAGCGTCCTTCCCCACCTCATTTCCGAGGGGGATTTACACGCAGACACCCGGAAGAGGAGTGGCGAGAGAGTCCCACGGCGCAGGCGCAACCCTCTTCAGCCTGGCCCCGCCCCCTCCAGGCCTCAGGCCAACCTGTTCTAGGCGTTGCCGGCCACCGTGGCCTCATTTTCTGTCTGTCTGTCGGCCCCGCGTCGTCACGTGACGAGGGAGCGTCGGGATACCCGGAGCCCCAGCCTTCCCTGTTCCCCTGCTCCCTGTCCCGGCAATTTCTGCACTACCTTCGGGAGTCCCTTCCCCAGGCGGACGCTTGGGGCCTCCCCTGGCGGAAAACCGAGGATCCGTCCACCCCGCAGCTGGCTGCGGGTCACGGCGCCGACGTCGGACTGCCTCCGCCCCGGCCGGTCGCGCGCCGAGGCCCTTGGTGAAGGAGAAGGGGCGGGCCGGGGCGGCCAGGGGCGGGGACTTCACTGTCGCCGGGCTGCTCTTAGGGCCCGTCCCGCGCTGCAGCTGCGAATACCAGTCGTCGCCGCCACCGTCAGCGCCACCGACCGTCACCATGAACCCCGACCTGCGCAGGGAGCGGGCTGCCGCCAGCTTCAACCCGGAGCTGCTCACGAACATCCTGGATGGCAGCCCCGAAAACACCCGGCGCCGGCGGGAGATCGGTAAGGGCGGGAGCCCGGCCTCCCTCGGTGCGGAGTCGGAGGGCGCTGCGTGGGGTCAGCCCCCAGCCCGTCGCCCTCGAGGGGCGGCGGGGAGACACCTCGCCCCGTCCGAGAGTGCCGCCTCTGCCCGCGGCTGGCGAGGCAGCCTGGTGCTGGGAGCCCTGCAGCTGTCTTCCTCTTTTGTCCTTTGCTTTCTTGCAGAGAACTTGATTCTGAACGACCCCGACTTCCAGCATGAAGACCTGAACTTCCTCACCCGCAGCCAGCGCTACGAGGTGGCTGTCAGGAAGAGCGCCAACATGGTGAAGAAGATGAGGGAGTTTGACATCGCAGACCCTGATGAGATCGTGTGGTTTAAAAAGTAGGTGTCGCAGCAGCGTGGAGCCAGGGCCAGAAAAGCCCAAAGTGCAGGGGGCCGCGATGATTGACCTTTGGGGTTGATGTCCTATTGTCACCCTTCTCCTGGGCGATCTACCTCCGCAAAGATTTACTGCCTCGAAAGCCCGAAGGGGGTCGCTGTGAGTCGGAATCGACTCCATGGCAGTCGATTTTTTTGGTTTGTCATCCTTCTGGCTGTTGAAAGACCCAGACTGGGACACTTGACGCCTCGTTAAAGTCATGTATGTGGAAAATAAGATGACATATTTGTAGAATGTTGGTAGGACTGGAGATGCTTGAGTTTTCCTTCTCAAAAATCGATCCTCTCCAACAAAATCCTTTTGGTCCCCGGGGCTCAGTGTCTAAAGGCAGCATACCTGACTGTGCCTTTGGTAAGGCGGCGGCCTGCTTGAGTCAGAGGGGAGTTTGGAAGGATTACTTTTTTCTATTTTCATTTGCTAGTGATGGTCTTGAATTTAAAAGAATGAAAGATAATGGGGGCGGGTGAAGCACATTGGTCTACACTCAGATTGAATATAAAGTATTCTGAGAGCCCAGCACTGTTGAGTCGGGTGGCAGGGCTTAAAGGGCACTCTTGTCCACTTGAGCCCTCATATAAACATGCCTTAGTCCTGGGGATGAGAGAGAGTATGTGCTTTTTTTGAGATCATCCATTTTTTTAATTTTATTTTTTAATTAAAAATCAAATGGGCACTTTTTGCCTGATCTCAATAGATGCACCATTATTACGTGATTTTAGTATATAAATAAAGTTCTTTTGGATTCTAACACACCGTTTACTTTTTTTTTTTTTTTTTTAGCATTTTACAGGAATTCCAGTGTTTTCATCTATAGAGATTAAATTATTTGACTAGTACATAGGCACAGACCAAGAAAAGTGAAGCCTGCCGCAGGTTCTGTTTTAGGTGGTCAGCAGTCCTTCTCTGATACTACTGCCTCCAGGGCACTTGGTAGCTAATCATTTTCTGTTTGACTTGGTTATTATTGTGAAGATACATTCATTTACTTTGGCTTTTAGGACCACCCTCAGAACTCCATTCAAATTTAGTTATAAAAATATAATTTCTTTTTCCCTTTTGGGGGTAGCCCAAACCAGAGTATTCACCAACTTGCCAATGCTCTTTCTAGAGCCTGAAACTCCTGGCTGTGGGGATATAGAGGCAGGGCAGCTGCTTGAAGTTTCCATTTCTGAATGCCTTGAGTTATGTCTCATAACTTTAAATACAGGGAAATTTTGTCACTCCTGAAAATGACACTCAAGAGGAAGTTGGTTGGTTTGTTTTTTAAATGGTAAATCAGTGTGTGGTGTCAGAGTCCATGGAGGCGTTTCATAACCTGTGGTTGATACTATCACCAGACTTGAGTGAAGTCACAATGAAATAGAACAAATTCCTTTATGTGCATCATAGACTGTTTTGGTTACCTAGTGCCATTCTGAAGGAGCTCTGGCAGCATAGTGCCTAAGGCACTTAACTGCTAACCAGAAGGCTGGCGGTTCAAACCCACCAGCCACTCCTTGGAAGGAACATGGGGCAATCTACTTCCGTAAGGATACTGCTTTGGCAACCCAAGGAGGGGTCGCTATGAGTCAGGTCTGACTCGACGGCACACAACAACATTCTGACAGGAATATACCACAAATGGGATGGCTTTAACAAACAGGAGTTTATTCTTAAAATTTGGAGTCCCAGTTCAAAGGGCCAGGCTCTAGGGGCTGGGTAAAAGCCCCTCAACCTTGGGCTTCAGTTCTGCCTCCTGCTCCCAGCCCACTGAAGCTAGAAGCTTTTTTTCACTCAGCTGCTGGTTGCTGAGGCTTACAAGCCCAAGGTTGACAAGTAACAAGGCACAGTCCCGATGTTACCAAACCACATGGCAGGCCATGAATTCAAGTCCATTGAAAGTCCCAAGGTCGGCGGAGCATGGCAGGCTGCTGAACAACAACATGGCTACGTTCAGGGTTCAAGTGTGCCATAAGCTAGGGACCGTTCCCCAAGGCTTCTTATATACAGGAAGCAGACCACATCCTTAAAGCAACGACTTAGCTGCTTATAGTAGATTCCACCATGGAGGTGATTATCAGTCTCATGGGGGAATACTACATCCAGCTGCCCAGCCACTCAACCAGGCCCAGCCAAGTTGACACACAAACTGAACTACCACACAGACCAATGGACATCAGCCATTTTTTAATGTATCATTTTGTTTGTGTATATGTGCAATATTAATGTACAAAATTTAACACACCCCAGTTCTGATGGCATAGTGCCTAGGGCATTTGACTGCTAACCAGAAGGCTGGTAGTTCAAACCCACGAGCCATTCCTCGGAAGGAAGGTTGGGCAATCCTACTTCTGTAGTGATACTGCCTCGGAAACCCAAGGAGGGGTCGCTATGAGTCAGGTCCGACTCGTCGGCACATAACAACAACTACAACATTAGTGAAATACATTGAGATTCTCAACTTGAGTATAAAGGAACTGTTCCTTCCAGTTTTTCAGACAGACCGACCTTGTGTTTGGAGAATATTAAAGTCGTTCTCTAAATGTACACATTTTATCTTTTAACCGTGCTGCTTTCTAGGAAAAGAAAACTAGAATTTTTTTAGGAGTAATCTGAAATTCTAATGTGAATCAGTCATGGTTTTTGTTGTCCCTTTTTAGGTTTTTTAAAGCTGCTGCTTTTTTGGGGGTGGGGGCGGGGACTCCTGTAAGTGGTGTTAAAATATTCAGTTTTACAATGTTCTTTTTTCAACAACTACAAAATGTTTCTTTGAAAAGCATCTGCAGGAAGGATTAAACATAGCTTAAAAACTAGCTCTTAGATTTTGTTCTTGAATTGATTTTCAAGTGGCCTCAAATCTCAGTCTATTGAAAACACAGATACTTGATAGTCTTTCTTTTGTGTCCCGTTTTACCTCTCAGTGTTCTAGAATGAGGGCTCTTTGTGTTGACATCAGGATTTCATAAACTTCAGGATACCTTAGTAAGTTATTCAGCCTTCTCAGTTCCCTCATGGGAATATGAGTGTCTTGTATTTCTACCATTTTTAGCACGTAAATGTCTGCTTTATTTTTCTCAGAAATTCTTCTACATTCATTTCCCCTTTATAAACTTAGAAAATAGGAACTGTACGTACTTGCTGGTTTAGTAAGATGTGACTGCTGGGAGATGCCGTGTTCCTTCTGCCTCTGAGAGGATGATCATACGGTCTGCACCTTGTCAGGCTCTTGGCTCCCACTGCAGCAAGGCGTGGTGCATTTGGGGAAGGAGGTTACCGCCATCCTAGGGTGCTAGGCTGCTGCTTCTCTGAATTCTTGGTAACTAATGAATTCACCTCTTCTTTTCATGCTCCTCCTTTCTCCTGTTTCCCTCCATTCAGCTTAAGTGAGTTTTTGATATTCAAACCACACCTGTTGCCATTGACTTCGTTCTGCCTCATGGCAACCCCATGTGTGTGGAGGGGAGCTGCCTCCCATAGGGAGGGTTTCCATGGCTGTGACCTTTTGGAGGCAGGTGGCCAGGCCTTTCTTCAGAGCACCTCTGGGGGGGTGCAAACACTCTTTTGGTTGGTCAGTAGTTGAGCACTTACCTGTTTATGCCACCCAGGAGCTAGAATCTCGGAGCTGAAAAGCAGTTTAGGTGTTGGCTAGTCTAGTCTTTCCTTTGATACTTAAATGAGTCTGTCCCCAGCCCCCTGAAAAGTGATTTTCCACCCCACACCTGTGCCTGGCCACCAGCAGCAGCAGCTGATAAGCCTGGTCTGTTGATTTCTGCCCCTGGCTTAGGCACAGAAGTCATTCCCTCTGGAAGGGAAAGTCCATAATTACTACATTAACTCACTTGGGTTAATTAGAAATATCTTTGTCTAAGAGCGTACGTGGTGAAGAATACTGAATGAATGAACAGATCTGTCTTGTCTTGGAAGAAGTACAGCCAGAGTGCTGCTTGGAAGCAAGGGTGACAAGACCTCGTCTCACGCACTTAGGACGTGTTAGCAGGAGGGACCGGTCCCTGGAGAAGCATCATGCCTGGTAAAGCAGAGGGTCAGCGAAGAGGAGGAGGACCCTGAGCGAGATGGACTGACACGGTGGCTGCGGCAGTGGGCTCGAACGTGGCAGTGACTGAGGATGGTGCAGGACTGGGCAGTGCTTGGTTCTGCTGTCTGCAGGGGTGCTGTGAGTCAGAATCAATTTGACTGTCCCTAACGACAGGAAGAGCGGACGTGGGGAGAGTTATTTCCAGGGAGATTATGGTTTGTGTGAGGAAAGGAAATGGGGTCATTTGAATAGTATTTATTTAGGAAAAAGAAAAGTAAGATGATACATTGTCTTTACAGTTGGTGCTTTTCAGCAGTGGGATGGTTCCAGGGCCTCCCCAGAAGTGGGCTGGCAGCCTGCCTGTCCTGCCTTTCATTTCTGCCCTGCTTCTTTCACAGAGCTGGGTCCCCTGGTGGTGCCACCACTTCCATTCATCGCTGAGATGCCGTGAACATCAGTTAGATGATAGTTCTTGTGTAGTTTAAGCTCTTTGGACACATACTGTGAAGTCTAAAACAGACTCCTGTAGAGCCTGTAAGGAACTCTGGTGGCACACTGGTGCCTAAGGTGTTTGACTGCTAGCCAGAAGGGTGGCAGTTCAAACCCACTAGCTGCTCTGTGGAAGGAAGGTGAGGCAATGTACTTCTGTAAAGATTTGCCACCTTGGAAGCCCAGTGGGGGTCGCTGTGAGTCAGAATTGACTCGATTGATGGTGGTGAGTTTGGGTTTTTTAATACAGCCTATAAAACATTACAGCCAGGCCATTCTAGCTTATGCAGATTTTATTTGGACTATTCACAATAGTCTTTTTCACAGATTTTGTTTTATGAGAAGGTAGTTGAGGCTGAGTTTCATTATGCTGTGAGGTTCCCTTGCTTGGTAGTGATGTTCACGGACCACTGGGGGTTAATTTTTAAGATGCTCACATTACCTGCTTACCTGCTGCCAACCCTGGTGAGTGTCAGAGATATGTGACTCTGTCCTCAAATATAGATGTGTGTACCGACTGTTTGTTCACCTTGTCTAGGGAAGGAGTCATCTACAGAAGGAGCTTTTGTTAACAGCTGTACAGATCTTCAAAAACAAATCTAAAATCAATAAAATAAAAACGCACACTCCAAAAAGTCCAACCAGTCACATCAACAAAGAACACCAACGAAACAAACAAAAGAGATTTTTACGCAAAAACATGGGTAGAATTTAAAAAGGAATTCTGGCCCTGAAGTAGCTAGGGGAGGAAGAGATGGTACCAGGTTTGCTGCTGAATTTTTAGGTAGTAAAACGGTGCATTTCTCATACAGTTAGTTTCAGAAGTCAGTGTAGCCTTTGTTCCGAAGGCCAGAGCTGTTGGGTGGTGAGTGCAGTTTCTGGAGTGAGGCTGAGACCCTTTTCTTTTCTTTCCTGTAGACTACATATGATCAATTTTGTGGAACCCGTGGGCCTCAATTACTCCATGTTTATTCCCACCTTGCTGAATCAGGGCACCACTGCTCAGCAAAAGAAATGGCTGCCTTCATCCAAAGGACTCCAGATAATTGGCACCTACGCCCAGACGGAAATGGGCCACGGTTAGTCCACGTTCACGGTCTGGGGGACCCCCCCAGGACTTTAGTTCACAGTGACACCTGGCATTTGATTTTTCTGCTGCTCCACAGTTGGGGTTTTATTTCCAAATTCTGCTTCTCCTTTTCTCGGAGGTCGTTTCTTCACCAACTGGTCCAGGCCTCGGACCTATAAACATCCTTCAATCTGATTTCTTTTAGCCTTTATCATTGCAACACTTTGTGACCCCATTTGAACCAGTGCTGAGCACTTTGGAAGGATGGGCCTTAATTAAAGGATGGCAAAATAATACCCCATGGTCTTGGTGGTCTAATTACTGAAGACTTGGAAATTCCTGAGAGGGTTGTTGCCTTGGCAACATCTGGAAGATGCCCCTCTGCTTGAATGCAGTTACAGATGGGGGTTTAATGGGAACAGAAGTTTATAGCAGTTAAGTGTTTGCTGTCTAAGTGCCCACTAGCAGGCTCATAAAGCAATTTGGGAAACACTCCATGATTTTCATCTGACTGCAGCAGTCTTTAGGAGCTGTGGTGGTGTAGTGCCTAAGGCACTTGACTGCTAACCAGAAGGCTGGTGGTTCAAACCCAGCAGCCACTCCTCAAAAGGAAGGTTGGGCAATCTACTTCTGTAGTGATACCACCTTGGAAACCCAAGGAGGGGTCGCTATGAGTTGGATCCAACTCGACAGCAGTGAGTTTGGCTTTTTTGGTTGCAGAAGTCTTTGTATATAGGTTAAAAATACAGGTTCATGGACTCCGTGTTGCCACTGATTTCTTGATTAGTATTCCTGAATGCCTGGCTACTTTCCAAAGGTTTTGCTTTTGGTCTTGATGTGGAGTGGGTTTGTTTCATGTAGACATTGCCAGTTAGGAATTTTGAATTTGAGCTGCCCAGCTTCGTTTCTAATTGATCCATTGAAGGAGCAAAGGAAGGGAAAGAAGAGGAAGAGATGCTAGCCAGAAAGCGTCATCGATCGAATGCTTTCTGAGTTAGAAGCCGCTTTAAGGAAGATGTTACTTCCCAGAAGCCAGAAGGGACTGCAGTTTGTGGTCATGATGTGATGTTACCAGCACCGCGCTAAAGGGCCAGACTTTAGCTTCAGGTTGGCCCCTACTGAAATGCAAGCCTAAACGAAGGTTTCAGGTTTCCTAAGTGAAAGAGGAGGGCACTTAAAGCATCCTCCTATCTTGTACTGTACCTGGTAGGTGTAAGATAAGAATAGTCTGAACCTACGGGGTCTGTTAGGAGCTCTGGTGGCGCAGTGCATAAGTCATTTGACTGCTAACCAGAAGGTCAGTGGTTCAGATCCAACAGCTGCTCCGTGGGAAGAAGACGAGGCAATCTACTTCCATAAAAATTTACAGACTAGGAGTCACCATGAGTCAGAATCGACTTGATGGCAAGGGGTTTGGTTTATGAATCTCTTGTTAGTCTAATCCTGCTGCATTGATTTATAATGAAGTACAATTGCAAGTATACATTTGCCCTAAAGTTTGAAGGGAGGAAAGAAGAAATGAGGACTTGAACTTCACTGGGTTGAATTGAGAAACAGGCCAAGATCCTGTGTTGCTCTAGGCATGTTTCCACATTAGCGCTTTCTTTCCATTACTGCTTCTAGTTTTAGGATATTTTCTGGTATTTGAATCAGTTTTGTCTTAATCTGTATAATTATTTACTCTGGAGAACAAAGTGGTAGTGTTAAGCCTTAGTCCTTGTTGGAATGTGGTTGATTCATGACGGACTAAGTTGTGCTTTGTTGACTGATTCAGTTTGTTGGTTCACTTGCATCCTGTTGACAGTATAGCTTATAGAGACATCATAAGATGTCTGTCAGCAAGCATTAAGGAGCTTGGTGTTACAGCAGCTTCTGTAGAATGAAGCTCTGATGGTTCAAGGTCTGAGACTTCGGAAAATTAAGGATTCTGACATGTTTGGCCAACAGTGTGCACTATGTGTTTTCACAGAATTAGGTATACTTCAAGCTTGGGGTTCTCTTACCGCTGGGTACCTGCTGAGAAGTGCAAGGACTCAGTATTAGTTAGGCTCCTTCCAGGTTCCTTCAGAAGCTTAAAAATCCAATCACCTGAAGAAAGTCTTGGTCACCCGGCTTTATTGCTTCCTTCCTCTGAATGCACACCTGTCTGTGTGAGCACGTGAAGAAATCCCCATAACATATCCGGTCTGTGGGTCCGTGAGCCTCAATGAGGGCAAGGCCTGGGCCAAAGAGGTCTCCCCTCCCTGGGATCCTGGTGTTGAAGGGACTTTCCTGGGCCCTGGCAGTCCAGAGTTTATCATCCTGACATCACGTTTCTGAGGTCACAAGGCGGGAGGCTGTTGGGTCTTCACAGATATTTGATCATTTTGGGTCCTGGCCACATCATAGGGATTCTTCTTGACTTTTAAAAATAAATTATTATTAAATATTATTAAATAAGGAGCGCTGGTAGCATAGTGCCTAAGGCACTTGACTGCTAATCAGAAGGCTTGCGGTTCAAACCCACCAGCCCTCCTCGGAAGGAAGGTTGGGCAATCCTACTTCCGTAGTGATACTGCCTCGGAAACCCAAGGAGGGGTCGCTATGAGTCAGGGCCTACTCGACGGCAAATAACAACACTATTAAATAAATGGAACTTACTTTCATATAATACATAGTTATTGTCCTTGAAGGTGACGCACCACTTTGCAAATCCCCGTCTTCAATACTCAAATATGCAATAAAGCACCCCCTTCTTCCTTTGAAACTGGAAAGATAGGCAGTGGACTTGATTGTGAGTCATCCTCTTCCTCCCCTGTCTTCCTTGCTGTTTCCCGATGCTAGATCCTCTCCTGCCTCCTTTTCCTGAATGATTCTCTTCCCTGTTGCACTTGCTCTCTTTGGTCTGTGGGCTGTTCTGACTTTCCCACTATTCGCAATAATTCTAATGTCAACCTCTTCTACAAAAACTGTTCTTTGGGGTTTGTATTGTTTGATAACTCCAGTTCATTCTCAGAAATGAATTACTGCATCTACAGCTTTTGCTACATAGTTTGAGACTCTTCCTGAAGCATAGATCCAGTTTATAATTGTGGTGTCATAAATTACGTAGTGTGGCTTTTCTAGCCATAAGTCTTTGTAAACTCCATGGTGGAATTTGCCATGAGCAAATGAGCAGCTCTGATTGTTAAAGTTAGCCACCTGGGGTATTTCTGTTGGGAGTAGCATGAAGTAATTTTCTGGGAAGTTCTCTCTCTCTCTCAGGTCTATAGAATTCTGATGTTGGGATTGGTTAGTTTGGCCACTCTGCCAGGCTCAAAAGGAGCCCTCCTAAGGCAGAAGGGGGTCTCTCTGACTGCTGGCTGAGAAAGGCGTGCTGCTGAGAGAAATGCGCTCCTGAGAGACACACACTTGGTAAGAGAGATGCGAGAGACATGCTGCTGAGAGAGACTGCTGGCTGCTAAGTGAGACAGCTGGCTGCGAGAGACTGAGTGCATTTCTGCACTTGAGTCGTAGCCTGTTGCTTCCCTAATCAACCCCATAATCTGTGAGTTCTGTGTGGCCATTGCAGCAAATTATCGAACCCAGCAGAGAGGTGGTAGGTGCTGCGGAGGAACAGTTGGTGTTGGGGTTGATGAAAGGGCTGGAGGGAGGCAGCATGTCTGGCCTCACAGGGATAGGCCTTGGGCTGCTGATGGTGACTGTGTCTTCCTCTTGTGGGGTCAGAGGAGGTCAGAAGATGTGGACTCCCTGCCCCTTTGGGAGTAATACGTTTAGCAGGTTATAGTGACCAGTGTGCCCCATCAACGTGATCACTTTCATTTATTTTTGCTACTTCAGTATATATAAGAGTTAAGTTTTAATTTTCCTGTGCAAGTGAGCCTGGATGTTATTATGTGTCTACATTTCCTGTGTATGAAATGGCTTTTCTCCTTTGAGGAGTGGTTAACTACACCCTGCCTATGCACCTGACAGTATTGTCTTGTAATTTATTTTTGTTGCCTTTGTTGTATCAAAAATTTGGCCTTATGTATTCAGTGCATCCTGTGTAACTTTCTTTCCTCCCAGAACTTGGATAATTTCTTCTGTTTTTTTTTTTTTTTTACTCCCAGTGTTTGTGTATGGTGTGCTTTATATTTAATGCTTTGAATTGTAGGTGTTGTGGAGTGAGGAGTGACTCCCAGACTGTTTGCTAGATTTCTAGCATTTATTACCTGGTGGCTTTTCCCCATTATGTTCTTTCTAGTTTGTCTCAGAGTTTTTATAATAGTTTTAATTTATTTTCAGAACCTTAAATATGCTACATTGATTTGTTTGTTTTTTTGTTTTTTTTCTAACATTATATACTTTGGTTCATTGTTGCTTTGTAAGATATTTTAAAATCTGATAGGCTAAGCCTACGCCTAAATATATATATATGTTTTTCATATTCTTGCCTACTTATTCTTCTAGATGAATTCCAGTCTCAGTTTGTCAAGTTCGAAAAACTATACAAATTTGAAATTAGTACTGTATAAAATCTATATATTTTCTTGGGAAGTATTGTTTTCTTTACTATTTAGTCCTCTCTACCAGGAATTAGCTAGTTCTTTCCAATTTATTCATCTCTTATCCATTCTGTTAGGTACTTAGAAGGAACTCTAGTGGCGAAGTGGTCAAAGAATTGGGCTTCTATCCAAAAAGTCAGCAGTTTGAACCGACCAGACACTGTGGGAGAAAGATGAGGCAGTTTGCGTCTACAAAGATTTACAGCCTTGGAAACCCTATTATAGGGCAGTTCTGCTCTGCCCTAAAGGGTCGCTGTGAGTCAGAATTGAGGGGATGGCAGTGGCTTTTGGTTCAGTACTTACATTTTTTTCCTTAAATAAATTTTTAATATCTTGAGCCAAGTTACTTCATAGATTTTCAATATTTTGCCATTTTGTATACACTATCTTTTTCTTTACTGGGGTCTCCACTTGGATGATCCTAACAGCTAAAAATGCTGTTGATTTTTTTCATTACAAGCTTCAGCTTTTCTGAATTTGTTTATTGGTGCCAGTGTTTTGTTCCTGTTGCTCATTTCCTGGGGTCGTAGCATGCTGTCCACGGAGGTGCTGTGTTTGCCTCCCTCCTCGCACTTTCTAAGCCAATCATTTCTCTCCAGCCAAGGCCTCTGGCTCTCTAGCCCTGTGTCACGTGGAGGAGGGACTGCGATGCCTTCTGGGGTCATGATTTGAAAATAACTGACTGTAGCGCTTCCCTGCGTATAATGTTAGGTGCCTTGTGATTTTAAAAATAAATTCTTTTGAAATAATATGTTATTTTTATCATGCATAACCAACTTTCAACAACAAACACTTGATTTAAGACAAAAAACATTGACTTAATAATCTAGGTCACATTTTCTGTGTAACATTTCTAAATTCATCTACTTCTAAATAGTCCTCCTCTAGTCACAGGAGACATTTTTTTTCCTGAAAGCATTCTGCAGTCTCAGAACAGACTCGGGTGGTGGTCGTTTTACCCCCACCCTAAGAGTTCACGCTCCTTACTGACTCTCCTTATCATTGTTGCCCAGTGCACTGCACTGGGGGGAACCCCTGCCAGGAGTGTACCGTGCTTTGTAGTGGTCCTGCCTTCCCCAGGATTTGCGCTGATTTCTAGTAATTCAGAATGAATTGGATGAAGGCTTGAGCCAGGGCCAGCCTGCAGTCTGTGTTCAAAGAGTTTTCTCCTTCCGTGTCCTAGGGCCACATAATTTTTCTTTCTGGACACACTGTTCTTTAGAATGGGGCACAGTTGTGATTCCTGTTGGCAAGGAAAGGCACCCTGTCGTTCCATGAATGAGTTTCTCCTGGGACTTCCACTTTCTATTTTAACTTTGTATTTTGAAATGATTGTAAATTCTTACGGGGTTTCTGTGGGTCAGAAATTGAGTTACAGAAATCATTCGGAGATGTCCTGAGTGCCCTTCCCCAGGCTCCCACCTGTACTAACATTTGAGGAGACTTCCACTGTTGGCTCATCAAAGACAGCTCAGGTTTGAGCTGGTCTTTGCAGTGTCCTGGTCAGAGCCCACCCCAGGCTGCATTTGTGTGACCCTGTCTCAGCTGGAGGCCACCACGATTAGGCCATTAGGCCGATTAGGCCGTGAGGTGCTTATCCTTGTTTTGCTACTGTCTTTGGCCCAAAAAGGCACTTAACCCATTTTTCTTAACTTCTTCTCTATAAAATGAGGGAGTCAGTCTAACTTTCTTTAAATTTTATGTAATTGGTCAGCTTAAAACATAGCCACCTAATTGGAAGATACAGGTTGTCCCTGACTTATGACATGTTGTTGTTGTTGTTGTTATGTGTAGATTGCCCAACCTTCCTTTCAAGGAGGGGCTGGTGGGTTTGAACCGCCAGCCTCCTGGTTAGCAGTCAGGTGCCTTGGGCACTACGCTACCAGAGCTCCTTACAACATATTAAAGTTAAAACAAATTGCACTTGACTGATGGCTGACCATCTGTGGATTTTGAGGGTTTTTTATACATCTCATCCTTAGGCAGGTGTACTAGATACAGTGTTGCAGCATATAATTTGCTGATGTATCATTCTCAGATGTTCACTAGCAGATGTTCAAAGATCTAATTTATTAAGATAATGATAATAAAAGGTGATAATAATGAAAAGTTAAGAAAAAGGCATTCAGCTTACATCAGAACGTACTTAGGACGAAGTCATAGGAACAAAACCCCATTGTAAGTTAGGGCCTCCCTGTAGTTCAGTCATCACAGCCTGGGTAGTGCACCTGCTGCTTTTTATCCTCTTCCTTTTATGAAACAAACTGTCTAAGAAATTTTAAAACTGAAATGTTGGTCAGGCTTATTTCTAAGACATTAGAAAGAATAAGGAGCAGTATGAAGTAGGGCGGTTTAGAGCTTAAACAGTATTGATAATGTGGAAAAACACAGTATCGGTAATGTGGAAAATGCAAAAGCATGTCAGGTTATTTCCTATTAGAAGTGAGATATCTGTACATTGTAATGAAGAAGATTACCCCAGAAAGTGGATTTAAAATAGACTACAATCAAGACGTTTATTGTCATTAGTGATAATTCCCATATCATTTGTGATGGAGAGTTTGTTATGCATGAATCCTACAATTATAATAGGCTTCACTAGAAATCTGTGTTTATATCTGAAATAAAACTGGGGTGAAGAGCACTGTCAGTTTTTGTATTGTATCCATAGATAGTGGGTGAACATTCAGTATCATGAAGCAGAAACAGCTGATGTGAGGAAAGTGGATGTTTGCTGGCTCTTTTGTGGACAAACAGAAAAGATACGGCCTAGAAGCATCACTGAAATGGCTTATAGGAAAAAAAATACTGTTCTCGAGAACTCTGCACATTATCCCTCTAAGAGAATCACTGTGTTCTCCTGTCTCATTTTCTAGTCAGAGTCAATCAACATACAACTTAAATTCTGCATGCCATACAACTTTTCCAAATTGTTTGTTGCCTTTGATTTAATTGCTAGGCTGGAATCCTCTGTCTTGCTCACGTGGTTCTGTACTGCACAGGTTCTGTATTGAATGGACAGTAGCCATTTCCTCCAGAATGATTTTGGAGGCAGATAAGTGTCATAAGAAAACACTCCTAGCCAATTTAAGAAAAATTAAATTGCCAACATGTATAATACAGAAAAGGGCAGTGCTCCCATCCCTGCTGAGACCCAAAACTAATTTGTACTTACAGAAGGTTTTTTTTTCTCCTTCCCTTACTCTCTCTGTTCAAATCGCTGATTTTCTCACACGTGATGACTACTCTCAAATGCCCACCCTTGGTATCTCTTCGAAGCTTTGCGCACCGTGGGCGGCCTGAGCCTCTGGATCTTCACTTGGGCATGTTCCTGCCCACCTTGCTGCACCAGGCAACCGCAGAGCAGCAGGAACGCTTCTTCATACCTGCCTGGAACTTGAAGATCATTGGCACTTATGCCCAGACAGAGATGGGTCATGGTACGGTGCATTCAGTCTACCTTCAGGGCTGGGCGGGACCCCTGCGAGCTTAGTATGTATGGCCTGGCCACAGGTGCCTGCAGGACATCTCAGCAGGCACTGCCTTTTAACAAGAGGCCTTTCTGCAAGCCAGGTGGTTCACACTTACGAGTCTTGGCATAGGCATTACTTGGCTCAATGATGAAATGATAAACCAAAGGTTACATGATCAGAGATATGATGTTTGGTTTTCTCATGGTTCGTATTCAGTAGGTCAGGGGTTGCAAGCCAGGCCTTATCTGCCAAGTGGTTTTTCAAGCTCATGAAGTTGTATGAGGAGCCCTGGTGACGCAGTAGTTAACTGCTCAGCTGCTAACCCAAAGGTGGTGGTTCAAATACCCCAGCTGCACCTCAGGAAAAAGATGTGACAGTCTCCTTCTGTAAAGATTGACAGCCTTGGAAACCCTATGGGGCAGTTCTACTCTGTCCTGTAGGGTCACGAAATGTCAACGCAACCACTGCTGTGGAGCTGGCCCCGACTCATAGCGACCCCTCCTTGGGTTTCCGAGGCAGCATCGTTATGGAAGTAGATTGTCCAACCTTCCTCCCGAGGAGTGGCTGGTGGGTTTGAACCACCAGCCTTCTGATTAGCAACCAAGTGCCTTAGGTACTGTGCTACCAGAGCTCCTATAGGGTCACTAGGAGTTGAGATTGGCTTAATGGCAATGGGTTTGGCTTTGGGTTTGAATTGTACAGAATCAGTATGAACAGAAGCTGAAGCTGTCTTTTTTTTTTTCTTTCCTTCATTTTTGTCTGATTATTTTCACTACTGTTGCCTTCATGAACTTTACCAATTCCAGAAGAAATGCAGATTGACAGTATGTGAGCTCGCTGCCTCATTAAGGGAAATGATGGCATGCCTACAGTGTGGGAGATGTTGTACCTTGAGGTTACTAGGTCCATGAGCTCAGTGAAGCTGTACGTGGACTAATGAGAGGTTAGGGAAAACGGGATAAGCTGGGCTCCAAGCAAGTTGATACCAAACTCTGCATCACTGCTATTTTCCTCTTTCCATTCCCCATCTGAGGAGGCTGGAGGCAGCTTCTCATGTCATCTGCTTGGAAGCGGTACCTGTGGTTGCCATTCCTTGGCTCAGCGTCTCTTTTTCTACTCTGAGGTTTCAGAGAAGCTCTTCTGGTCTGTCTTTGCCACTTGCTCCTTGTTTCTGTGCAACTGTTTTCTTCATTTTATAGCGAGTTTGGCTCTCAGCTTGGGTGCTGAGTGGACTTTCCCAGGACTCAGGGTGGGACATTTCTGCTTCAGCTGTGCATCTAAAAACGTTGTCATCCCATTTAACATGTTACCCTCACTCCCCACCTTGTAAAATCTGCTGCTTTGGTGAAAGGGTCCAGTTCTTTGATGCCCACCAAGGGAGAGTTGTGGATCACGCATATGCTGGCCATTTGTTGTTCAGCTTGAAGTTTCTAAATATGTCAGAGTTTAAGGGGTGAGTGAGGGCTAGCATTACTCAAGCGGTTTGCTTCAGTGTATTATTATATTACTACTATATTAAGGAGAGTGCCACCTGGATGGTTTTTCTGTAATCCAAGGAATTTTGGTGTATTTGTATTAGGATTTAAAATGCAAGTTCCTGTCCATCTCCAGGAAACATACAACACTGGGAACTCTTGGAGTCACACTGGATGAAGTTAAAGCCTGGAGCTGGAAGTGTGCAGGGTGAATCCGTGCCTTACCACTGGGCCTGTAGGGATCCAGCGGTCACTGTGCCAGGTGTTCTCCACAGTGGTTATACCTCTTTAAGCTCTCTTCCTTTTTCAATCCCAGCCGTTACTCTGAAATACGTAGTCAATTTACAAGAACTTTAACTGCAGTCTCTTTTCCTCATATATTATTTTCATATAATGTATCTTCACATATGTTATAGGCTTCACTATCATACAGAAGTCTAGAATGCTGAGTTGTTGTGGTTTAAACACAGTACCTGTGAGTTGAAAATGCCATACTGGCAACTTACAGATAAGGGTCTAAAAAGCCAGTTCGGTTCCCTGTTAAGTTCAGTGCTGTGATCTTAGGAACCTGTGATTCTAAGCTGCCTTTAGAGGTTGACCTTGGTAGCTGTCATAGAGCCACTGCTTTCAAGGCGCACCACCACATCAGTACAAAGCACAATGTGAACAGGAACCTCTCTGATATAAGTACAGGGAGTTGAGCACCTTGATTACCCACCTTTTCTGGCTCAGCTGTAAACATTCTTGTTGTTAGATTATGTTTTCTTTGAGATCCTAGGGCTCAAAGGACTGGACAAGAGGACCTTGTGCCAGTGTTCCCTCATATTGTACCTGAAGTAAATTTAATTTATTTCCTTAGGGACTCATCTTCGAGGCTTGGAAACCACAGCCACTTATGACCCCAAAACACAGGAGTTCATTCTCAACAGTCCTACTGTAACCTCCATTAAGTGGTGGCCTGGTGGACGTAAGTGCATTTTCTAGCATTTGTTGGATGTTATGGAGATGGGGCAGTTGTCTGTCCTGTTCACTATGAGTAACACTTGACTCCACGGCACGACATGAAGCGTTATAAAGATTGTGTTCAGAATGTGGAGCTCCTATGCAAATGTCATTTTGAAATACAGAAAACACCCTTAAATCATAAATTCTTCTGACTGTCCAAGTTCTCTTGTGTCGTGTTACCTACGTATATACATTTGACAGAGTACAGAATGGACATCTAACTTACTCTTCCTTTCTTAGTTTCTCATCTCACCACTCCTCTTGCCTTAGCCTGTTTCACATACTCATCTTTGAAACTAGCTTAGTGTTCCACTGGGAGCTCTGGTGGCATAGTAGCTAGAACATCTGACTGCTAACCAGAAGGCTGGTGATTCAAACCCACCAGCCACTCCTCGGAAGCAAGGTTGGGCAATCTACTTCTGTAGAGATACTGCCTCAGAAACCCAAGGAAGGGTCTCTATGAGTTGGGTCCGACTCAACGGCACATAACAACAACAACAACAGTGTTCTGCTGCTGGCTCAGTTATTTCCATATTGTCAAGCATTGGATTGTTTTCATAATAAATAGTTTCATTGTGAAACTTTTATATAAATATCTTCTTACTTCCATTCTGACTTACTGTCTTAGGCTGTATATTTCAGATAAAGTCAGTGGTTAAAAGATTTTGCTACTCACATTATGTATTTTAAGATGTGACATTATATTTTCTTATGAAAATAAGAAAAAAAAACCTAACCTGTAGAAAAGATAACTGTTTTCTGGATATACTAACCAAAAAGCTTTTAAGGTAACCCTGTCCCCTAGAATTTTCCCCAGTGATGGAAATGCTGTCTGTCTTTGCTACTCAGAAGATGGAATTGCTAGCCACATGGAGCTCATGAGGACTTAGAATGTGGCGAGTTGATTGGGGAACTGAATCTTTAAATTGGGATGAATTTACATGGAAATAGCTACATGGGGCTAGTGGCTACTGTTTTAGAGAGTGCAGCCTGAAGGAAGAAAAAAAGATGGTATTTAAATTAATACTCTTATTGTTATCCAAACATTTCTTTATGTAAATGAAGGAGAAATAAGTGAAAAAGGAAGTAAAGTTGTCTTTTTTACAATAAATTGCTGTTTTGCCAAAATGCCATCATTTTTAATAATTATCACCTTATGTAAGAGCTCTGGTGGCATAGTGCCTAAGGCATTTGACTGCTAACCAGAAG